AGGCCTTTGTACACTTCAGGGGAAAGCAGAGCCTCAGCTATTCCAGTCTTGAAAGCGGAAACAGTCGCTAGCGATCTTCCACACGGGCTGATCGTTGTTGGGTGAAGCCTGAGCTGTTAGGAGAAAGTTCTGGTTGAAAAAACGCTGTTTGTTCCCTTCAAACTTGACTATGCCACCGGTCACCACAAGCAGTGTTGTCTGGCCTTGGGTTGCTTGCTCTGTGAATGAGGAGAAGTTAGTTATTTTCTAAAGCAGCAACAGAAGAATAAAGGTTTACATTCACATTTTAATGAGACAATATGATTAATGGGGATCAATTTAATAGTTCAAATGTGTTGAGTTTGGGATTGACCCACTGACCGTGCACAGGCTGGCAATCCAGTGTTTGAACCTGGAACTCGCTGGATGGCAGTGACTCAAAAAACTCGCCCAGGGCTTCCTGTCCTGACACCGCATTTCCGTTCCACACCAAGGTAGCCTTGTCCAGGTAGAGCCGGATTAAGTTCTAGCACATGGGAGCCAGACAATGGTGAACATTAACAGCAACAGTGCCATCAGCCTGTAGCAGAGCACCATGCTCATTAGCTCTAGTGAAACTGACAAGTTGTGATCTTTAAAATGAAAACTATCACTTTAAGAATAAGACTGCTTTCACTGCTGAGGAGCTGTGGGTTAGTGGGGAGCTCATAGTTGAATCCACTTTAGAATCAGAATCAGAATCAGAATGGGGTTTATTGCCAAATGTTGAGCAGGTTTACAACATTAGGAAATTGCTGCGGTACTTCAGTGCAAACATGGTGTCATAAATAACGCTTAAATAGACATGGAAAAAATAAAAGTAGGGATAAGAATTAAAAGTGCTACGTGGAAAGATATGTGCATGAGATATATACATGAGAGTAAGAATTAAGAGTGCTACGTAGAAAGTAGAGCTGGGCGATAGAATGATAACGATATGTATCGCGATATAAGTTGTACTGATAGAGAAATTAAGCTATCGCGATAGACCTCGCCGCTCTTGTCCTCTTAAAAAATAAAAAAAATTTAAAAAAAGGTCAGCCAAATTAAGTAGCGCAGAGCCGAACCAATCACAGCCGCAGCGTCACGTCGCGTGACTTGTTAC